TCATGAGATTTAAGATATATTTATGATGTCAAGGGTTTTACGGAATATTTCAGGCATGATTAAAATTCACATGGAACATCACAAAAAAAAACGTATTCATCGACTAAGTAATTTGATTATATATTATAATGTTCAATATTCTGCCATACATTTTAGTAATATATACATTATTTATAGGTCATTTCCGTAATCATATCATTACGAAAGAGTTTGATTGAACTATTTTGGTCTATCTATAAAAAAAACCATCATATGAGGGATATTTTGAGAATACAATATTTACCGGATATCACTAATATGGTGTAATATGACTAGTTTATTGGGTATTTTCCTATGTCCAACATAGATAATTGATTACAGTGAAATTACAATAGTTAGTGAAGATATGAACTAGGTGACCTTCTGCAAGTGATATGAAGCGTTCAAGGAAGATAGATAAGGTTGTGAAAAACAAAGCAGGAGTTATTTCCCTCGAAGAAAAACTTTCCGTTGTAATGTTTGAATTATTCATTTGGCAGCACATTTCCGATTTTGCACACCGAAGCAAAACCTGTTGTTATCATGTTTTGGTTGGAAAACGGACTAAAAAAATGAATCTCCCTCGTGCTAAAATCTAATACTTTTTTCCCTTGTATGATAAATAACTATTACGTTTGATGCTTTGATTCAATTTTCCCCAAATCAACTCAGTGAGATTATAAACACAAAAATAGAAGGGAAGTCTTAGTATGGTGTGTCCATACTTTTCAGCAATACTCTCAAGGACATACACTTTTTCAAATGTATTTGTCTGTAAAATTTCAAGCAGTTGGTTTTTGGTATAGTTATCTCGAAAATACAAATTGTTATCCATTAACAAACTTTGTATTTCATCTTTCCTCGAATTTTTATTCGGTACTTCGATGAGCTGTCGCGAATGATAGGAAACGTTGTCAAGAACTATTACAGTATTCGCATCCAAATTTGGGATCAATGTGTTTTCAGACCATTCCTCGAAAATATTAGCTTCAATGTTCTTATGATAGTCAACATTGCAGTCCTCAAGTTTTTTGCCACATAATTTCAAAGAATTCGGAACCTATCCTTTACTTCCTCCGCAATGCACAATGATTAGTCGCGATCCTTTGTTTGCAGGCATGTTAGGCGTACACATTCTCGAACCATCAGTCTATCCTTTCGTATCTGTGTCGTGAGTGTCATACGTCCAAATAGAAAATTTACCGTTGTTCTTGTCTATATTGAGTTATTTGTTCTAAGTATTTGTTACGCAATTCCACCATTCTTCTGCTTTCCATAACTGTTTGAAGTTTGTTTATTATTCTAAATCTAAATCCTAGTTTCTTTATCCAATTCTAAAGAGTTTTGTCACAGCAGCTCACGTTATGGCCGGAAGTATTCAATTTCTCCCTTATGATTTCAGTTGTAGGAATCTCCTTGCTGAACAGATTTTAAAGAGATCCTAGCACATTCTATTCGTCCCCGTAACATGACTTCAAATTTAATTTAATGACTCTTCAGCCAATCATAAAACTCGGTTATCCAATACGATTCGCCAATTCTTCAGTCCACGTGGATTATATCGCAGCGGAATCATTTCTTTGTATTGGTTTTTTTGGCCTTTGAGTTGCCGATAGCTTTAACTATTCACAATACCGGTTACTTCGACAAGACCAATTTTAAAAATTGTATTTGAAAGATTGTCCGATAAATGTACGTATTTTTTCCAAATGTTTTCGAGTCACCGGATAAATAAATGAATAATTATAAATTTATTTTCCATAATTGACTTCTGGCCCAGTATCATTTTCATTTTTTTTTGCAGCATCCCGGATAGCGAACACATCATATACATTCCGTGAACTGTCCGTACGGTCTCACATGATCCGCCTCGTTTATTTTAATGGAATGATTAAGCATCTCCTCTCTCGAAAGTGTTTACATTGAACATCACGACCTAGTCTGGAATTTTTTTCGCGTGATGTCATCGAACCGTTTAGTGTTTGTTATCTATCAGCTGTTCCGATGCTCTGGCCCCGGTGCTTGCTGGTGCTGCGGGCCCCACGAAGGTGACGCTCGGTTTCGGAGAAATGATCTCAACTCTCTCAACATTTGGACGCCGAATTTGGCGACACGACCGGAATTTAGTTCTCTCGACGCGATGCGATTTGTCAGTGCCGGGTACGGATGTATCGCTGGCGGGTAACGCTTGTCAGAAATTTTCGAAAAGGTGAAATTTTGAATGGACTGCACCCTCCGATGTAAAAAAATTGGGGGGTTCACGTATTCTGACGTATAGATTACGAATCTGAAAGAAAAAGTCGATGCTCTTCCTTATTTTCAGAGTTGAAGCCCTCCAAAGGGTAAATTTTCGTTATGTGGACACCCGGCGATTTTGAAAAAATTAAAAACTATTTAAACTATTTAAAAATACATGCATTTATTCACTAGGTCACCTTTACACCTTATTCGTCCTTCTTTAACACTTTTCACTTCAATAAACAACATTTTTCTTACAAAAATGTTAAAAAATGTACGGAGCTGCTTTTTGGTTACATATCACTGTATTTTACGTTTTTAAGGTTAATGATATGGTTGGAACGCATCAAAATACGTAAGTACAGTCAAAAATTTTTTCAAAATCGCCGGGTGTCCACATAACGAAAATTTACCCTCCAAAGTTCCGAAAATTGCAACTTTTCGCCTTTTTTTGCACATCACAAAATATAGAATAACACAAGTATTTATCAATCACATCATCGTCACATCTTTTAAATTATGTTTTTTTTGGATCCCCAATCGAATATTCATAAACTTGGTATGGAGTGCATCCACTAAAATACTTTCTCCTTCTGTCAAAACCATTTTCCTCAACTAACCAATAATTGTAGTTTTTCATTGTTTTATAGTAGTTATACATAAGTTGCATTCCTATGATCCTTAGTTCAAAAACCATCCTGCATCATACACAAAATTGATTACGAAAGTCAACTATCAAAATTATTCTACAATACATACTGAGTTGATTCATTTTGCAACATTGAAATCATTTTTCCCCTAATACGATAGGTTGAATTTTATATTTCGGGATTTGGCAACCCTGGTGTTGCAATCTGGCAACTGACAGCTCTATCGTAAAGTTGGATATTTTTGAGCTTATACATACTCATAACGTTTTGATATACGCGTGCTATTTGTGTTGTTTACAGTAAGTTAAAAGATTCATCTCGACCCAAAAATGGAATTAAATCGTGTGAACATTTTCGTGCGATTATTTTTTACAACTTTCGACGTGGATTAACTCAACAACAGTGCATGAATGAAGCGATGAAGCTCCATCAAGGACCAGTGTTTATCGATGGTATGGTGATTCAATCGTGGTCGTACTCCAAGACGAATTTTGTGAAGGTCGTCTGAAATCAGTTGTTGTTCCAAAAACCATTGATGCTGTGCGCGAACTGTGATTGCAAGATCGTCATGTGACCTATCGTGAGATTGAGACAACCTTAGGCATTAGTGGGACCAGCATACATTCAATATTGCATAAATATTTGACTGTCAAAAAAATGTGAGTTTGTCAATCGCTCAAAAAAAGGCTTGTGTCGATTGGTCGAAGGAAATGCTCAAAAAATACGATCGCGGTGCTTTGAAACACGTCTATGACATCGTGACAGGTGATGAATCGTGGATTTACGCGTATAAGTCGGAAATTAAACAGCAGTCGACTGTAATGGGTATTTTAAAATGAGCCAAATCCAACAACAGTTGTTCGTGCACGAAGCACTTCCAAGCAAATGGTCGCCGGTTTTTTCGGAAAAACTGGACATGTCGCAACCATGCCACTAAAACAACGCAGAGCAGTCAATTTTGAATGGTACACAACCATTTGTTTGCCAGTTGTTGTCCAGGAAATCAGGAAAACCAACCGTCGAAGACGGATCACTCTTTACCACGACAATGCTCTCACATATCGGCTCAGATAACTGCATTTTTGAGCACCAAAAACATCGATTAGATGAGTTATCCGCCGTATAGTCCTAACTTGGCACCGAATGACTTCTTTTTATTCCTGCACGTAAAAAACAAACTGAGAGGTCTACGTTTTTCGACACCTGAAGAAGCGGTTGCTGCATTCAGAATGCATGTTTTGGAGATACCTCAATCAGAGTGGCCAAAGTGCTTCGACAATTGATTCAAACGCATGCAAAAGTATATAGATCTTCATGTGGAATATTTTGAAAAACAATAAAGTGCTTTTCGATGATTAATATTTGTTTTTGTTCTCTAATCCCGAGATATAAAAGGCAACCCTCGAATACAGTGCCAAAAAAAATTGAAGATCTCGATAATGAAAGCAGAAACACTTGATTTGAATTTGAAATGAATATGCTTGTCTTCTGAATCTATACCTAACTCGGGGGCGAGGCGACTATTCGCGCGGTACCGTTTGCAGGCCACAGGCAGTCACGTTCGCCGCTGCGAAATGTCTTTATCGAAATTATCTGGGTTTTGCTTGGAAAGTAATAGTTTTTTGGTTGGTAACCTAATATTTGAAAGAGATTGTGGAGTACATGATTTGAATAAGAATCGGGGTATAGATGGAGAATTTCACAAGAATTATGAGAAATACAGATTATATAAAAAAGTTAATGCAAATAGAATTTCAAGTGCTGCTGAAAAATTGTTTTTGACATTAAGGTATGTAGTTACCTATCTATAAATATCCATCTATATTAATCTTCATTACGTATTTATTTATATACTTATGCATTAAGGTAATATTTAATTAGCTGATTTTGGAGAATTACCTATAGTATCCATCACAATGAACAACTTTTTCCCAAGAAAGTAATGGTCGCAAACGGATTTTTTTGTAACTTAATTTATTTGGAACTATCTTTGCCCAAAATATAACCAACTAATGAAATGTTACCCTGTATTTTAATATTTCATTAAATAAAAAAACTTTCAGATAATTATGTTATTTATTGCAAAAGTCTAAATTTTATGACATTAATTTTTCGTACAACTAAAACAAAAAACAACTTCTAACCTGTAATTGACGGTATAGAATGAATAATGAATTTGTAACTTTTTTAATCAGTCTTTTTTGTTCTTCTCAATGATCATGAATTACAGTAATCATAGTCTTTTCGATGTTACTTATGTGTAGGTATTTTATTCGTTATTAAAGTTATTATGACTTGGTTGAGTAGAGTAACCATAGCGACCATGAGGTTCTCCGTACATCGTGACATTTATTTCGTCTAAAAGAGCTTGGTTTATTTTATTTCTTAACCTTATTTTTTGGATGGTAGGTAGTTTTTCCATTTCCGGCAAAATACTCATTAAAAAATGGTAGTCACCTGATTTTCTTTCACTGTCAACTGGTGTATTTTTAGATATATCGTTTTCTAAAAGTTTTAGTTTTTTTTCTCAATCTCTAAATACTGTGCCCGAATGTCTTGTATTTTTTGTCGCTTTCTTGAATTTTGGGAATTAGAGGTAGATGGTTCAATGGGTGAAGATGCACCAGAAGGTGACCTTACTTCATTTATAACTTCATTGGACATATCATCATTGTCTTCGTTATCGATTATTACACTGTCTCCTTCATCTAAGTTTGATTCGGCAGTTAAAGGCATGTACTCATCTTTCAAAAATCCTAATAGCGTGAAGTATTTCCAGGCTGGTTCATAATTTGTTGGCGAATCACCCGACCGGGGTCTAGGTATTTTCTTTAACTCTTTATTATATGTGTCCCTCAGGTTCTTCCATTTCTTTTTGAGATCACCAACTGGAAAAATGAATTGATTAAACTACAATATGTAAGTTAGGGTACTAATAAACAGAAATAATGAAGATAGTAAATGTGTAGGTTCATTAAGAAAAAATATTTTATGTAACAATCAAATATGCCACCGCCAAAAATATTACCTGGGTCAAATATTTTGCTGCCTAGTTGACGACGAAGCCTATCCACTGAAAACGTATCTTATATGACCCTTTCCATCAAGTAATTTAGGTGATTCGAGAAGAATTTTTAATGAAAGATTGTCAAGAGCTCGAGTGACAATTGAGTGGGCTTATGGTATTATGACTAATTAGTGGCGAGTTTATCTCAAAGCAATCGAAACCAAACATGTAAAACTAATTATTAAAGTTGGATGTCTACTACATATAATATTGTAGGAGAAAAAGATGGTGATAGTGATCCCGATTTTAGACGGTACATGCATTCTAGATCTACATCTTATCAACAATAGAGCTACGTCACATGCTCTAGACATGAAAAATCAATTTAAAGACTACTTTGTTAACTATTTGTGATTATTTATATCATAAATGTTACTGTGTTTGAGGTCAGCTAGCGCAACGTAGATGGCGCTGGCACAATATAGATGTGTTATTTACAAATTCCTATATTAGTAAATACTTATATAAAGTTAAAGTGAAGTGTGACATTATTGATTAATTATTTGTGCCTAAATGAATAAAGAATACTATCTTACCTTCAGAATCTGGAAATTTTATTTGTATTTCTTCCCACAATCTCTTCACTACATGTTTAAATTTATGCTGTGGATGGCCAGACTTCCAAATAGCTGGTCTAGCTAGTATTTCACCAATAAAAGCCTCGGTGTTCATTTTTCGCGGCCAAAACAACTAAACTCGTTTGATCACTGCACTATTCGCCACGACTAGCGCTCAACTCCGTGGCTCGCGCCGTACTGATTCATGCCTTTGTTTTGCTCGCCCGCCGCGCCGCAAGTCGTCCACGCGGTTCGCTCGGTACATTTCGCCGATCGCCGTTGCGCGTGGCTTCGTAAGTACATTGTTATGCGTTTATTTCAGTCGCTAGACGCTTCGCCGTTCGCACCGCGGGAATGTTCGCATCGGCGAATGTCCTGTGGCCACGCTGTAAGGCCACAAACTCGTTTCAGTGTTGAGTGAATTACCGATAAATGTTGGGGAACAATCTTCAAGACCATTTCCGAAATTTCCTCTGGCTAGATGTTTGTTTCAGATTTAATGATCCATCAACTTGACTTCTGAAACCACGGAAGTTATTCTATCATCCATGGATGCATATATATTTTTCAATGAAACGAATTTCTAACGACAAACCTTGGTTCAACAAAAAATGTGAGCAAGTTGTCGCTTCCAAAAATCTCGCCTACCGGCAGTGGCGCAAAATTCCCAGTGCGGAAAACCGAACTAGAGGAGGACAAATAGAGAATTAGAAATAAACTGCATATGCGAAAAATTTTCTGTGAAGACTAGGAATGAAATACTCTGAAAGAATATCGATTTTCAATTCTGTTCTGTTTAAATCTGTTTTTCCGTTAATCAGCTGTCGCCCCCATACGAACGACAACTCAGAAGTTGAGAAACTTGTGCGAGCAAAGGACTAACGAGGTCTTACCTTTTAACGTGTGATTCCTAACACGGAATATGGAATATCATTGACTTTAGGTTGATAATGGTAACTATCCTGCACTGATGAGTGGCTAAGGATAGATTTGTTTACTGCCTGCATAGCCCACTGACTAATAAGAAAATAAACTGTTTGCCAATCCCAACCGGTATAGATTCTTCTGGTCGGTAGCTAAAGCTGTCAATCAAAACCTTACAAAGACCACACAAGGGGGTGGTTCAATGGCAACAACAGCCATAAAAAAGCAAAGCAGATCGAGATCTTCAGATGATGTGGTGCTGCAGGTTTTCTCGGGTTTTCCTGCAGCTGAAAAAGCTAAAGCGCCACTGAAATCAATTGAGTCGCCCCGGAGCGCCAATTAATTTTTGTTGTTTCATGATTTCATAATTTGTATTACTTTTTTTTGTATGTTTCTATAATTAAGAATTTAATTGCTGTTAGATGTTTGTGGAAGAAAAATTTTTTTTACATATACAGTGTGTCCAAGATAAGGATCCTAAGAATGGGAATCTCAGTACCTGTTGGAGATACAGCTTAGGTTAAATTAGGAAAAAGTTGTGTTCTTTAAAGCTTATTTACATGCCGTTTAGAAACTTGAAAAATTTTCATGGCCTGCTGAGATATTTGGGAAAAACGAGAATTTGACAATATTAATTTTATTTTTTTCTGACTTTATTTGAAAAGATATAAAAAAACGAATAACACTTTTTCATTTGCACTTTCAAGGTACTACACGATGGTATTTTTAGTTTTTATATCCGACGTTTCGTTTTCAAAATCAAATCAAAAGATTTTGTCGTGGAGTGTGATATGAACATTTTTCTGATTAGACAGTTGATGACTTTAAGGTAATACAGCTATCTGAAGTCAAGAATATAAATTTCACTGAGAAGATGATCAGACGTATATTTAAAGTTTTTTGATGAAATGAAAAATTTTCCTGATTTCCTTTCACTGCCGATAAGTTGAGGACATATTTAACTCATTTCAAATCTATCAATAAACTCGTTTATGCTGGCACACGGCTTGAAATTTTCCGTTTAATTTTACGCGGCACTGCATTGGCGGTATCGGTAAAAGGTGAAACAAATCTATTGTTTTATTTTGAACATGAGAACAATCGCGAACATCCTGTGTAGGAGTTGAAAGTTAAAATGCTAAGACGAATCCGATTCGTTCCAACAATTTGTTGGGAACAAGATCAAGGCATGGAGTCAGAGGTGGTTGATTATCAGGACCGCGTTCAAAATAATGATCGTGGAAAGAGAAGTAGACTATTGACATTTCAAATTTTTTGTTTCGAGTCACTCTAAATCATTTCAAATTTACTGAATCGACCTTTGTTTATTGGACTGAAAGGAACGGTATCACATGAATATTTTGCAAGGGATACCTAAAGGTTCATACCTGAGCCCGTTCCTTCTTGGTGCTTTCAGATGATCACGTTGAACATTACAAAGTACTGAATCGAATGAAGCGGGGGTTTCAGTAGGTACTTTAGTGGAATTTGTTAATTCATTCCACATACATAAAAAGGAGTCACTATAATCTTGTCGTTAAATATTTTTGAGCTAAAATTTAGTCAAATCATCTATAGGAACAATTTGTTCAGGCCAGTCTCAACTCCCTATACTATAGGTCAATGGACGGACACCTGTCAGAAAACAACTACTCCTTTGGCTAATACCACGAAGGGCGTTGGATTATATCCGACAGGTGTCAGTGCAGGATTCTTCACTGAAATTATTCCTGCATATGCGTTCGGCGATACAACTGCCGCAATAGATTTTCAATTATTGGAACACACTTGCAGACCGGTTTCGTGCTGTTTGGCCACTCGTTAGTGCAAGGTAGTGTCTAGCATCAACATAAAGTCGATAATTTCCGATAATTGAAAATCGAATTTTTTCAGAGTATCATTTTTCGAACTAGGCTGAGGCGGACAGTAAACAACAGGTTTGTCAATGTCTCATCTGCCTGTGAACGAGGTAACCAACGGCATATCCGAAATTTGCCCAATTCCTCGTATAAGGAAAGAAAACTTTTCACATATAGTCAGTGGGCATACTTAAACACTGGCTTTGAATGAAATCATCTATAGAAACAATTCGTTTGATTTATAGCCAGTCTTCAAGTTTGCCCACTGACTATATGTAAAATTTAGTGTTCATTCGTATACATTCATATGAATACACTGACCCGTTACTTGATAATTATACATTTTTCACAATAAATTTTATTCAAAACGCGTTATATGAAAGCACATAACGCAAAATGTAACGCTGTACCTGAGTGAAAAATAAGATAATAACATTGCAGATAAAAATAATGTAACAAATTGATAAATTAACTGTCTTAAACAAATTTATTTCCAACAATATTTCACTAATCACAAACTAATTTATTTATTGCAACACTTAGCAACTAACGCCTAATGTATTTCCACTATTTGAATTTCTTGTTTAGCCGCTCGATTCACTTTCTGAACTGCCCTCTTGGGTCGGGAAGCCGGGCTTATATAATGTAACGGTCCTTTCTAGAAATCTGTAGTCGGTTCGATACTAGAGTTTTACCGGCGATTCCCGACTGCATTCTTTCGTGGTGATGTCATGTGTTTGTTCTATGAATAAAAATTGAAAGGATGAATATGCACATTACGTATGTGCCTAAGCCACATTCTATTTATGTTTTAGGTAACTTGTACATTTATCAATTGAATATAATTGAGTTTTTTTTACTAGTTGTTGGGATGGAAACCTTCAATTGGAAAATCTGTCTGATATAATGGAGAGGTTGAGAATAATAGGTATCCCTTTTCTTCTATATAAGGCATGTTGATTTAAAAATATACAGTGAAATCACAGCTATATAACTCCTTGTATGGATCTTTTCATTTTACTTAGTGTTTTACTTACTTTACGTTTCTGTATAATGAAGTCAGAATAAAAAATTAATTTACTGTATACATACTAAAATGCTTTGCCATGTCTCAGCCGAGAGTCTGTGAGGGCATAGACATTTTTTGCAGCACGGAATAGTAGTTCTTTCGAAACTACATTCACTTCAAAACAGCCGGAGAAATTTTCTTATCTAGAATTTCAGACATTCGTCGATATTAACAGCCAAAAGATGTTATTCTGTACTATAACATTTCTCTTATGAATATGGCTGCACTTGTAGGTGTTATACTTATATTTTTTATGTTGACTGAAAACCGGTTTGCATGACCGTTACCTAATTTCTGTCAGGTCATTACATATGCGTTCTGGTGCCACAGGATGATACCACAAAGCAAAAACAATGAAATTACCAAAAATACGTACAGTAGCCAGATCATTTAGTGAAGTCAAAAAGAATATGGGTCCCAGGATTGAACCTTAGAGTATTCCTGCTTCCATTTTTTGTATTGGAGCTATCGGTTTTCACAAATTATGTACGATCTTAAAGATAGGATTCGAAACTATTTCAGACAATTTTCAGTAATTTCATAATGATGTAACTTTCTCAAAAGTATTCCGTTATTGACAAGTCATAGCTGATGAGTAGTGTTTATTTTGTTGATGTCAGGATGATCAATTGATTCTCATTTTAAAGATATTAGGCATATACTTTTCAAATAATTCGTTGTTGGTAACTTTAACATGGCATATAAAAAATTAAGAAAATAGTATTTTTCAAAATTGATTTTCTCGTTGTAGAATGTGATTAGACTCTTCGGAAATTGAAATAAACAATTATGATATAAGGGCCTTATGAAACTAGGTGGACGACATTTCAGTGCCAAATCAATTTGTTAAGAAAAATTTTCGACAAACTTGCAACCATTTGAAAACGTGTCGTTGTTAAAATAAAGTCAGAAGTACCATGTCAGCAATGTGAATAACCCTATAAATCAAAATTTGTTTTTACAATTGTTGCTTCTCTTTCGTACGTATCGTTAGCAAAACGGAAGCATCACTCTGTTCCTCGCTATCCCAACATTTGGTTCTCGTTGTTTTTTTTTTTCATTGAGAAGACGTCCTCGACGGATGTGGTGATGCATGATGTGATCGTTGTCTTTGATGGCTGTTTTATCGATACACATTTATAAATAATATTCCATTAATAACTGTCGTAATATCTGTTTATTTATCGTCGATTAATCGAATGAATATCAAAACAAAAGTCGCGTGACGAATGGTTTCGACATATATTTAAATTCTTTTCCCTTTTAACTCGGCGTTTTATAGATGTCGTGTTGTTTGCTCGCATTGTGGGGTCTTTGTTAATAGCAATGGTACTGCGCGGTTATGGCA